AACCCAATAATATGGTGACACTGGACATGGTACGCCCCTAACGGATTTATGGACGGAATCCGTTAGTTGGAGGTTATTGGTGGTAAAAGCCAATTTTTTTTTTATGTGGTCGTAAAATAAAACTTTTTTTTATGGAGGTGGTATTACCAAATTTTTCGTTTTTTGCGAGTGGTAAAAGTCAAAATTACTTAAAATAAAACACCAAAAAAAAAGGAATGATGTTACAAAGGGGATTCGAACCCTGATCTAGGTAAACCTGAAATTGGGCCCCTTGACATATTTTTTCTAGCCCACTAACAACTTAGCTAAGGCAAACTTCTTGTTTGTTTTTACACTCAATTTTCTATAACTATTTTCCCAGTTTTATTTTTTTTCCTAAAAATTTTTTTCCTCTGTTTTTTTTCTGAAAATGGGGGGACAATGGTCCCCCCCTTGTTCCTTCATGGGTCCGCCCATGGGGATTAGGCAGGTTTTTGGTGGGGGGGGGGGTGAATATCCAAGTGGGGGACGGGGCGGGGATGGTTTTGGAGTTGTACCTGATGGGCTGGGGATGAATTCTGAACCCGCTACGGGGATGAAAATTTTAGGTGGGGATGGGGATGAGAAGGTCAACATCCGCCCTGCTCCGCCCCATTGACATCTTGAAGACCAACCTACCACTCGCTAAAGCAAGTTGCATTTGGTCAGCTGTAGCAGATGAAGCTCTAATTGGGTTGTATTTAGAAATAAGTGAAAATGCAATTGTTGGTACAAGCAAAAAGCATCCAAGCTTCGGCAAAAAGTACATGGCATATAATGTAACTCAAGCGGAGAAGCCGCATATACTCTTGCCTAGAGATTTGAAGAGTTTGGAGTCACATTAGAGAAGAATGGTAGCAGATATACTACACTGAATATTTTGCTATATATGAGGAAGCGGGTAAACTTCCAGAAAGTGAAAGTGGTTACAACAAAGCTGGCCGAATTTAAAATGCAACCAAGTTGTTTCATATCTCTACAAGTCATGATTTTACTTTTCCTCGTGGAGATGAAATGGTTAAGCGAGATCCAAATTGAAGGACAAAACTATGATGGGCTTTGTCAAATGATGAAAGAAAAGCTTGTGGTGCATGCTGATGATGAGGAAGATAGTAGTGGAAGTGGAAAGAGGTCTAGGGCTGAAGTTGGGGGTGAAGTCCCCACTGATGGATTTTTTTAAGGATATCTACCATGATCCGACGGTGTAAAAAAAGTAAAAAAAAAAAAAAAAAAGCAAAGGCTAAGATTAGGGGAAAAACAGTGGCTTCTAAGAGTGCAATTTTAAGCATTTGTGAACAAATGAAGGCGTGTAATCCCCTGTATTTTTATCTTCTTCCATCTCCCTCCTGACTCGAAAACCAAATAAAAACCACCATTAAACTCGGCCACCATGTTTCAAGAAAACCAAGAAGATCAGTCTGTCTTTACCTTTGAGGAAGACATGAGGATGATATGGAACTACTTTATGTACATTGTGGGGCTAGTGGTCCTCCTAATGGTTGTATTAGTTTACTTGTTAATCCACAAGTAAAGCCTGAAAATTACTTCGGTGGAACAGGGTAAAAATGCATGTAGTGTTAGCTGAACTTCAATATTTTGTAATTTAGTAGTTTAGAAGTACAAATTGTAACATGTATTTTGGAAATTATGAATAAAATCATTATTATTACTCGTTTTCTTTGTTTTAAATAACGACTATTTCACCAAATGGCACTGAGTACTTAAAAAATTCACCAAATGCCATCAAGGTTTTCAAAATTCTCAAAATGCCATCGAGCTTATAAAAAATTTACCAAATGCCATTAATGACTAACGGTCTTTATTTTCGTTAGTCATTAAGATTAAATTTTGACATGTGTCATTATATGATTGGTTCATTTTAATTATTTATTTTAATTAATAAAAATAAAATAATATTTTTTTCTTCATCTTCGTGGCAAAATTGCAAGGGTATAGTTTTGGGGGTCATTTTGACTCTTTATGGGTACAAATTAAGCTCGGAATTGACAAAAACTAAGTAAATGATCCGTTTTGTGTGTTGAAAAATATTTCGATTAGCGTGTCGTTATTTTTTAACCATCAAAATTGATCGGGTAAGGTATTGGGGGGTCATCTTGATCATTTGAAGGAACAAATTAAGCTCAAAATTGACAAAAAAATAACTTAAATGCTCCGTTTTGTGTGTTAAAAAATATTTCGATTAGCGTGTCGTTATTTTTAACCATCAAAATTGATCGGGTAAAGTTTTGGCGGTCATTTTGATCCTTTATGGAAACAAATTAAGCTTAGAATTGAGTAAAAAAAACATATATGCCTCGTTTTGTATGTCGATGTCGTAATTTTTTTTCCGAAAAAAATGCGAAACGGGGTATTTTTGTTTTTTTTTTTTGCCAATGTCGAGTTTAATTTGTATCCATAAAGGGTCAAAAGGACCCCTAAAACCTTACCCGAACAATATTCGTCCCAAAAATCAAAAAAAGTATTATTTTTATTCATTAAAATAAATAATTATTGTGTATTAATTTTAAAAAGTAATGGCATTTGGTGAAATAATATACCAAAGTAATTAATGAAATTTGGTGAAATAAAAATTGCATTAACGAAAAACTAACGTCTATATGCTATTAGTGGCACAAGGTGTCATTATATTGTTTGTCAGTGGAATTTGGTGAATTTTAATATCTTTGATGGCATTTGGTGAATTTTGTAAGTACTTAGTGGCATTTGGTGAAATAGTCGTTTAAATAATAAAAAAAATCATTAAGTGTATTAAAATATTTAGCAAAATGATAATAATTATTTACAAAAACAATAAAGATAATAATAATAATAATTACAAATGTAGGATCAAAATTTGGTGTCTACACCACCGAGTCGCACTACACCACAATTCAATCACTATTGTACACGTCTAGCTTTGCCGCGACCAGCAACATCCTATCAGCCACAACCGCCACAAAACCACCTTGTATGCAGCCCCGCAACAACAAACACCACACAGCTCTCTCGCCTTTCCCACGCAACGACAACCCAAACACCACCAACCGCAACCCTCGCTTCAGCCACCAGTTCACCACCAATTCACAGCCAATTCGCCATCAACAATCATCAATTCACCACCAATTACGAAATCCCACATCTTCAATCTTCGAATTGTGCTCCAATGGTGTGCACTCTCGAGACTCGTAGTTAGTGGCGGAGGTAGTTCATGTCCTGTTGGGGCACGCAGGTTTTTAAAAAAAAATTACGTTAATAAAAAAAAATAAAAAAACAAAACCCTTATATTTTAAGTCCATATTACCGTTGCTAGTCTTGCTACATTAATGCCCTGCTATTGTCAGCGTATTGTCCCCCACTTCCCCCAATTTCCAATGACTAATTTAAAAAACAATTCCAATCACATTTTCACGTGACAATAAGTCACTAAGTCAGTAAAGTCACTAAAAAATATTTAAAGTAAAAAAAGTTAAAAAAAAATTAGAATTTTCCCCAAATTTTCTCTCTCCTCAAAATATCAAAAGTGTGAACAGTAACTCGGCCCACTCCTTGACTCCTCGCTGCGGCTCTACTTGTCGGTGTCGGCGCCGGATTCCAGCGGCCTACCTCCCACCATTCCATCAAGTTCTTGCTTCTACTCATCTCTACCATTGTTATTCGAGGTATTAAAATTTATTGGGTTTTAATTTTTCAATTTCATTCTATGATTTAGGGTTTAAGGTTATACAAATTTGTCTCTAATTAAATCATTTCTTTGAATCATGGGTGTTAATTTTCAATTAATTGCATAATTTGAATATATTAAGGGCTATTAAGAATTTTAATTGTGTAAATTGTAAGTCCACTAAGTGTGAATGTGTCAATTTGTGTGAATTATGATTTTGTTGTTTGTTGTTCTTCTTGAGTTCTTATGTTATTTACTTATTTGTTGCCTAAAATTAAGGGTAATAGGCTATGAATTATATCTTGAGTTGATTAATTTTAAGTTTAGTGTTTATGTTTAAACTTTATAAGTATGTTGTTGGTTTATATGAAAATTTTGGTTTAAAATTATCTAATTAGACATATAATATAAATTTCAGAATGAAGAGAAAAAATACAAGGGATATTTCAAGTTTCTTTACCAAAAGATCTTCTACTTCAAATCCTTTTCTTTCTCAAGAACAAAATCCCTCTCCATCACTAGAAAGTAATCAAAATCTCCCTCCACCACACGAAAGTAATCAAAATCTCCCTCCACCACAAGAATCTCTACAAAATCCTCCACCATCTCAAGAAAATGAACAAATTCCTCTTCCACATCAAGCAAGTGAACAAAATTCTTCTCCATCACACAACTTTCCTGAAAATCAAGATGAGGGAACTTGTCATGGAGCTAGTTCAAATGCTAGAACTGAAGCTCCAATTCATGAAGGAAGATTAAGTACTTCTGATATTGTTAATCTTCCACAAGATCCCGAAAAAAGGAGAAAGATAAGTGATATTCATCCAGATGATAGGGATTTGGTTAGAAGAACATACATTCAACGAAAACCTTGTCAACCCAAAGATTTTGTATTTCCTCAAACACCTTTTGGGCCAAAATTGTGTCGCTTCAACAAAAAATGGTTTGATACTTGGCGGAGAATCGAACATGGCTTGAGTATAGTGTTGAGAAGGATGCGGATTTTTGTTTTATTTGTTACTTATTCAAGAAAGATAATGCATCTGGAGGCGATGCTTTTGTTAATGAGGGATTCAAGGCTTGGAATAGAACGGAAGCATTTGCAAAACATGTTGGTGGACACATGAGCGCTCAAAACATTGCGGTTGTTGATATGAATTCATTTGTCAATCAAAAGGCTTCTATTACAACCGCATTGTCCAAACAATCACAAGAAGCAATGAGTGCATATTGAAAGCGGTTAGAAGCTTCAATTGAAACTACTTAATGGCTCCTATTTCAAGGGTTGCCTTTTCGTGGCCATGATGAAAAAGAAACTTCAATGAATAGAGGTGACTTCATTTCTCTATTGTCACTTCTTTCAAAGCATGATCCTGAGTACTCGAAAGTTGTTTTAAAAAATGCTCCAGGCAATTGTCAACTGACTTCTTCTCCAATCCAAAAAGATATCATCAATGCTTGTGCAAAAGAAACAACTAAGACAATTCTTGAAGAGCTTGGTGATGGATTTTTTTCCATCCTTGTCGATGAGTCAGCAGATGTTACCGAAAAAGAACAAACGGCTGTTTGTTTGAGATATGTTAACAAAATGGGAGAGGTATGTGAACGATTTCTTTGTGTTGTGCATGTTCCTAACACCACTTCTTTGACCTTAAAAAATGCTATTGAGTCTATAATTATGGAGCACTCTTTAACTTTCTCTCGAGTACGAGGTCAAGGTTATGATGGTGCTAGTAATATGCAAGGTTCAATTAATGGCATCAAAACTTTGATATTGAATGAATGCAAACAGGCTTACTTTGTGCATTGTTTTGCACATCAACTTCAATTGACACAAGTTGCACTTGCTAAAAAGAATTCGGATTGTGGGTGGCTTTTTGTTAATGTACTTGCACCTCTTTTGAATTTTGTTGGAGGTTCACCGAAGAGGAAAGAATTTCTTAGAGAAAACAACGTCAACATGTTGTAGAAGCATTGTCTTTGGGTGAACTTGAAACAGGAACAGGATTAAATCAAGAACAAGGTTTGGGTAGACCTTGTGACACTCGTTAGGGATCTCACTTCAAGTCGATCTTAAATGTGCTTGATTTATATTCTTCCATTATTCTTTCCCTTGATTCTATTGCAGAAGTGTGTGATACACTTGATTCAAATAAAGCACAAGCTATTACACACTTGTTGATGTCATTTAATTTTGTGTTTGTGGCACACTTGATGGTTGATATATTTGCGATTAAAAAGGAGTTGAATAAGGCCTTGCAAAAACATGATCAAGACATTGTGAATGCAGTGGCCATGGTTGATGTAACCAAGGCTAATTTACAAGAATTGAGAGATGAAGGATTTGATTTGCTGTCACTTCTTTTATGGCTAAACATGAACTTGAGATTCCAAACATGGAGGCTAAATATGTTGTTCCGGGGGAAGGATGTTTAGAGGTAAGAGCCCACAAGTGACAAATCTTCATCATTTTCAAGTCGACTTTTTTATAAGTGTCATTGATCTTCAATTGCAAGAACTTGAAAATTGATTTCCCGAGGTAAGTAAGGACTTACTTGTATGTATGTCTTCCTTTAATCCTACTAATAATTTTTCTTCGTTTGACAAAAAAAAAAATTGATTCAACTTGCTAAATTCTATCCAAATGAATTTTCAAGTGCTGAGTTGATTTTTTTTTAGCATTCTCTTAACAACTTTATTGTTGATGTTAGAGAAGATGAGAGATTTAGGAATTTGAAAAGTGTAAATGAGCTATCTATGAAACTTGTTGAAACGGGAAAACATGTAATTCATCATGGTGTGTATCTTAAGGAATGAGTCAAGTGAAAGATAAATTTGTGTAATAGCATGGGAGATCAAATGTTAAATGATTGTTTGGTTACTTATCTTGAAAGAGATTTGTTTGTGAATGTTAGTATGAATGATATTGTTCATCGGTATCAAAATATGAAAACTCATCAAGAACAATTGTAATAGTTTTTTAAGCATTATTAGGTTGTAATTTGAATAAATATTATTTCTTGAATGATTTTATGGGTTTTTTTTAATATATATATATATATATTGTGTGGTTAAATTGGAAAATTTTATTGTTGATAAGTTTGTATTCAATAGTGCCCTACCATTCTTGAATTCCAAGTAACGAAACAACAAAAAAAAGCAAATTTGCTACTGTTCCGAGCGTTGGAGCAAGAGAATGGTATCTAAGGACCTGGGCTGGACTTTAGGGGGTTGGGGAGGTGGCTGCGGAGCGATGGTGGTGGATAGTGGGTCACTGAAATCTTTTAAAAAAACCTTTTAAACAGGTTACCGGTCCCAAAGCGAATGTCTCTCAAAGTTGGGATTATTTAAAAATAATCCAAAGTTGAGATTATTTTGAGTGAATGGGCAAAAGTTGGGATTATTATAGCAATTTCTCTCTCTCTCTATTTTTTTTTTGCGAAGTAACACCTTAAACCGATTTTTTATATATGACTTGGTTTTCAGGCATTGACCCTCACGTGAGTCGCACGTGGTCCGGTAAAAACCTTTCTTTCTTAATTTTTTCCCTCTTTTTTCCTCTATAATTGAAATTTCTCTCTCTTCTATTCTACCAACTAAGACTCAATTACTCTCCATTGAAGAAGGAAACTCCATTGTTGAGCAAAAATCGCTTAAAATAACCTAATTTCAAGGCTAGTAAGTTATTTTAATTAATGAAATTGCTTGTTAAATTTGTTGGGTTTTCAAATTTCATAAATTAGGGTTTGTAATTGAAAATTAGGGTTATTATTTTGGGAATTGTTTATGCCTACCAATGTGTTTAGGATAGAATAAGCAGTAAATTTGAGGGGCAATGTGTTAAGGATGCCCACCAATGCGGTCTTTGATTCAAAATTTTTTTTTTATGTGCTTGCAATATTGGGCTTCAATGGAGGAAAGGGGTGAGGAGGTTGGGTGGTGCTTTTGGGTGGATGAGGGTGAATTAACGAGGGTGGAATTTTAATGGAAGTAAATTTATTGAGTGAGATGGTGTTGGTGGGGGTGATAGTGAGGTTGGGGTTGTGGTGTTTGTGAGGGAAAGGGGAAAAATATAAAGTAAGGTGGTTTTATGAGATAACGTGACCCACACATGCAAAGTCAACATCGAAAAACCAAGTCATACACCGGAAATCAGGTTAAGATGTTACTTCGCAAAAAAAAAAAAGGTTTTAGTTGTGCTTTCACAAAAAAAAAAAAATTATAAGGTGTTTTTCACAAAAAAAAAAAGGGGAAATTCTCAATGGTACTCTCAAGCTTTTTATTTTTCTCAATGGTAAACACTAACATATTAAATTATCATTGGTAATCTATAATTGGTAAAACTAATTCAATGGTCACACTAGTTAAGCATTTTAAGAAAATATTAACCTTGGTTAATGTTTTAAAAGGGAGGGAAAAGAGAAATGTCTAAAATACCCTTCTCAAACAAAACCCACCACCACTTCTTCCCCTCGCCACCTCTGACCAGCCAGCCCAATTCCCGTGCCCTCCTGGCCGGCGCCGGCCGTGCCCACCAAGATCCCCTCCCCGGCGCCGGCGCCAAGTTAAACCCCCTCCCCCTGGTCGTTGCGACCACTAAATCATCCAATCCCCAACAGCCCAGCCAGACCACCCCCGGCTTTTCATCGCCCCCCGTCGTCGGCGCCCAGATCGTTCCTCCTCGGCGTCGGTGCCGTTCTAACACCTCTCCCCTTTTCGCAACCTTTCGCGAGTTGAACCACACAATCCCTTCCCATAAACCCTTCTTCCTCCGCCACGAAACCCCCTAAAACAATCAACCCACCTTCGAAAAACCCTAGCCGACCCTCCTCCGCCATCGCTAGGGTTCCGGTTGGGGTTTTTCGAGGGTTGGGATGGTTTATAAAGGGTTTAGGTTTTCGTGGGGGTAGGGAGGGGCTGGTGGTTCATGGGCGCCGACGTCGGGCCGGGGGTTTTGGGCGCGACCGGCATTGGAGGAAAGGGGATTGAGGCTGGCGGTTGAGTGGATGTGGTGGTTGGCTGTGGTGGCTGTTGAGGGTTTTTTTTTAAAAAAAAATTAATTTAATTGTTAAAAAAATAAAGGAAAATATAATTTCAAGGATATATTAGTCATTTCCCCTTTAGTAACTATGGTTAGGCTTATAATTTTAGATTAATCTCATAAATATCACCATTGAATTAATAACACAAATTGTTGATTATCAAAGATAATTTGATTTTTTGATGTTTACCATTGAGAAAAATAAAAAGTTTAAGAGTACCATTGAGAATTTCCCAAAAAAAGGTATTATAAAAGTTGGTTTTTGATAAATTTTTCTTTTTTTGGTAAAAAAAAACTTAATGGGATTATGGATAATTATAATGATATTTATAAACGTGTTAAAGTACGGTGACAAGGACATTTCGATGAGTAGGTATAGATTTTTACATGCAATGAAGAATAAGGTTATAAGATTTGCATGTGATAAATTTTAATAAATTCAATATATCTGATTTTTAGAGCTATTATGATTTATGTACACATAACATAATTTTTTTTAATTTGTTTTTTGACAAACATATATTGCATAATTTAATTGACACAAACTTTTTATATGTGTCACTATAGAGTTACTTAGTGTAATAGGAGTTTTTCTATTACTGTTATAGGGATTAGTTAATAATATGTCAGTATTTTAGCGGCAAATACAAGTTGAAATGCCAGATTAATGAAAATTGTTAATCTAGTGGCACTTTTTGTAAATATGTTCAAATATCGTGGCCATTAGTTTATTGATTTTGGACAGTTGTCCATCCATTCATGCAATTATTGCTCTACAGTATTTAGCTAGCCATCCAACGCAAATGACGCATGTACCCTTGCAATGACACTTGAAAAGACGATTATACCCCTAGATAAACAAAATTTATCTGGGGAATGAACTGGGCAGTGCTCGTATTGTAGTGTTAACCTATGATAAGGGGTTACACAATAATAAGTATAATAACGGGTTACTCTATAATTATAATAGTTGTTACTTTGTTAGTGTTATAGAGAATACTATGGGTTTTTACATCACAAACGACTACACAAAAAACGCGATATTTAATTGATGAGGATTATTCCTTATCAATTTGACATATATTATAATTCATTTTGAAACATCTTTTGGATAATTTATAGGGTAATGATATACGTAACCCTTATGGTTATATATACACATTAAGTATATACTTCCTAAAATAGAATTAAGTTGGGAATTCATGACAAAATCATGCACATATTGGTGTTGTTAATGATAATTTATCCTCAACATTACTTTTTTTTAGCTTTTTATACGTAGTCATTAGCGGAACAAGCTTTTTAACAAGTGGGTTCAAATCAAATTTAGTTAATTTTTAACCAAAAGTAAATGAATTTATTATCCTAAATTATTAATGAAAACATTGATATAAACTTGCTTTCATAATGAATGAAAAAATACTAAAAACTAATTTGTATTATATATTGCACATATATACACATGCAAATATCTGTGTTTCACACTGATAATTTTTTTTTTTTCAAATTTTGATTATGTATTTCCCATATTAAGTAATTTAATTTAAATTAGTAACTTTTTTATTTTTAAATGTTACTTACCTTCAATTTTTGTTAGCAAGGCATCGATGAGGTTATTCTGAATTGTTCCATTTGAGCCTAGCCCTACGGTGGTTCATGAGCTATTTTGATTGTATCCACTTTTTTTTTTTTTTTTTTTTTTTTTTTTTTTTTTTTTTTTTTTTAAGAACACTTCTAATTGTCGATTTCATAAATAGCACTACTGCATGATTAAATACTTTTTACTTTTTCTTTTAAAAAGAAATTATTTTTATTTTATTTTGTTTGACTTATCATCAAATACATCTTCAAATGTATACACATATCTTCATTTTTTATACACGTAAAAATTATAAAATCTTAATATAAATAAAATATAAAATGAGACAATTCTAGCAAGATATCACTCGAATATATTATCACTTACTAGGTTAGGTCCCGAGCCATGCACGGTTATATATCTTAATTGCTCCATATTTTCTTTTGATAGGTTAATTTATTTAAAGCTTAAAAATATTGTTTAAAATATCTTGAACAAAATTATAGTAACATGGAATATTACGTTAAATTAATTTATGTTTTATATATATATATGAGAATTTACATTACCATATAAAGGAAGGGTAAGATTATAATTTTTTTCTACAAAGATATGCAAAATAGGTTAATAAAAAAATTATTTCCTAAAAAACATATGAATAATAAAAATTAAAAAAAAATAAAAATAAAAAAAGTATAAATTTTGCATTAAATATTAAAAAAAATAAAAAATAAAAATAATAAAAAAAAACTTGAATAATTAGTTGAAATAAACAACCTTTGAAATCAACACTCGTAGATACATGCAGAATAGGTA